CACATGCAGTGTGCGTGTGTGAGTGTGTGTGCGTGGCACATTGCAACCGCGGTCCAACTGCCAGCATGGTTTTGGTTTGTGCCACGCCGTCTGCCTGCCACTGACGTTTGCTCCAAATGCTGCAGCTGACAGCAGCGACTGAGGCCGCTGCAGCGGTGGCGGTCTCTACGTGTGTGCGTGTGTGTGTGACATGTCTCCTTGCTGGCCCCTTTTTCTCTCCCCAACTCTCTCTCTCTCTCTCACTCGCCCTCTCTTTCTCTCGCTCTCTCTCATGTGCGTGTCGCATTGATTTTATGGGCTTTCATATTTTATCATTTTTTGTTTGCCACTCTTGGGCTGCAACAATCATTTTGTTGCATGTCTGTCTGCGGCTGGCCACAAAGCCACAGTTTCATTTTGCCTCTCCGGCTGTCAGTATATAAAAACAGTAAATCATATTAACAACATTAGTTACTTCTTACATTATATGTTACAAATTCCAAAAATTCAGTGAACATTTAGGGAGAGTGAAAAAGCAGTGAGTGACAGACTAAGAGATACCCATTAAGACGCTGCTGTTGACAAGATTTTGGCTATTGTTTATTTCTTTAGCAGCTATTTACCGTTTTATTATAAAAAATAATTGTAAAAGAGTTTTTAAAAAGTTCGATCAAAATTAGTTTTTCTATTGTTATTTTTTTTTAATTATTTCCTTTTTTTTTTTACTTAGAAATTAATGATAATTAATAAACTTTGCTGACTTGGCAAACTTTTACCATAAGGTAATTAAATTAATTTAATTTAATATATTTTAATGAATTAAAGAAATAAATAGTATAAAGATTTTCATATTTTTTTAGAAATCGTATAGCATCCTATATATCCCATATATGTACACATGGGGTAGGGATTAAGGCTAATAGCCTTATATATATTTAAACGAAATCCATTTGTCCAAATTTACTTCTCTTAATGGCTTCAGACTTTAATAAAATAAACTATGAAATAAAAATAGATTTCACAATTGCCTAGGCTTCTTTGCTAAATGTGACTGTAAAAAACTACAAACCTAAACAATTATCCGTTGTGCATTTGCAATTCACTATTTAACCTTATTTCCTGCATTTAAGCAGTTTGTATTTTTTTTTTTTACAATTGCGGCGCACACAAATTGTTATCGATTTGTATTTTTAATTAAATTGACAGCTTTGCACAACTTTCAGTGTGCATTTATTTTTTTATGAATGTAATATATAGGTTTTTGCCGTTGTAATGTCGAGCACGTGGCCATGGACCATTGGCATATGAAGTTGTCAACTGCATTTCGAGATAGAGCAAAAATAATGTCATGTGTGTGTGTGTGTGTATGTGATAATGTGACCTATTGCTATCTGGCCTTCATTCGCCACATGTTTGACTCGATTTGTAAGTAAAATACAAAAATAGAAGACGAACACAAAGTATTGCAACAATGAAGAACAAATTTGTTTTTGATAGAAAGTCATGTCAAAAACAATAGCCCAACTATTGTCATACTTTACTTCTCCGGTTTTTCAAGTTTCTCTTTTTTCTACAGAGTTTCCAGAGGGGTGGCATATAGCACTGGAGCAGCGCGCCCAGCGTTGAGTTGACCCTCATCAAAAGCTAACTAAAAACTTTTCTTTTATATTCCTGAATGGATCTATCTCTGTATGTACGTATCTGTGTTTGTGACTGAGTTTTCTGCTGGCTAAAGTGGAAAATAAATGATTTCACAGGATGACCATTTGCGTGTTATATATGTACATACATATACGAGTCAGCTTATGCGTGTGTTTGTGTTTGTGTCTGTAAACGGTCAAAAAGTTGAAAACCAAGCTACAGCTTTTTGTCAAATCTGAAGAACAGGCAAACAAATACAACATCTGTGGCCAAAACAAAAGTCAGAGCTAAAACGAAATAAAAAGCCAATAGAAATTTAAACAGTTTGACGCATTAAATACTCATTGGGCGTCCGGGCTTAGACAATATCCTAGAAAATAAAACTTGGCGAACAGAGTATTATAAACTGAAACATATATTGTATGTTCTATATATTAATCTTATATATTAATTGTGGCACAACAATTATTTTCATACATAGTATAATATATAATGTTTAAAGATTACGGACCATAAAATATATACAAATTATTGATTCAATAAAATCAATTTACTTTGACTCGATCTTAAATAAAATGCAATTATAATTAGATAATTAAAATAAATTAAATAATACATTCAATTCTTGTATTTTATACGCTCTACTCGCTAAGTACAAAATCAGATGCCTCTCTCTCGCTCTTTGGGCCTTGAGCTGATTCGTGTCACGGTGTTTTAACGAGCATCGTTTAGGGAGAGAGATACGATTGATGTTCGTAAAATGAGACTCGGTAAGTAACTCATATACTCAATGCAACCGCTTATGTTTATATACCAATGCAAACACAAAATTCTGTTTCATTTGATTCAACTAACACGGTTGGGTAACCAGACTTAAACCAAAGTCGGGCTCTAGCCGATCGAGAACGAACGCTAATCGATGCAATCAGTTGATCTCTGAGTTCTTTATCAGAGTGTGATTAAGAGACAAACTAAACTAAGAAGGAAGAAACAAAAATAGTTTCTATTGTCTGTTATATCTCCGTATATTCTGAATTATGTTTCACTTAAATAACTTTTAACCTTACTTTAACATACCATCTAATTATAGGGTGTTTCCAATGTGAACCTGTTTTCTCTGCAGTTCCATATGCTCCATACAGTTTGCTTTCGACTACAGGGTATTACTAATTTGAGCTCTCACCAATTGTTTGCATTGACCTCAGAGCTTTGCTTTTGCCAAAATACGCAACCAATCTGGCAGCTAACAACAGGCTTATCCTTAACAACCAAGTGCCCCAGCTTCGCCGCAAATCCCAGCCTCCTTCGTTCATATTTAATTAGGGAGCAGCGTTCAGACCAACCCTTTTGCATATTTCACATCGGATTGGCTTCTCAACTGCTGCGTCAACTTAATTACGATGCGATGCTTATCACGATCATAGTCAACCCCATCGTCATCAGTCGCATCATCATCCGCATCGTCCACATCATCATCATTGTCTTCTGTGCCTGCAGGCTGGCTACTGTCAGGGAAGTGCCACTTCATCAGTCAGCATCGATGCTGCCGGCGGCTGTTGTCCGCGGCTCCTGTTGCCACCTGTCCACGTCCATTGTCATCTCTAGCTTTATCTGCCCAATGGCCCAACAGTCAGATGGCAGCTCTGTCTGCGGTGCGCGAAGGGGGATGGGGGGTGGGTGGGTTGTGTGGTGCAAAAGGTAGTCTTTGTTTGCACAGTTCCTGAGGCGCGTTCCACACAGATTTCGTTGGCCCCGCCGTGCGCCGTGCTCCGTGTGGTTTTTGGTGGCTTTGCCTAGAGGCCAACTCTGCACGGCTTAGCGCTAAAATGTGTGCCTATCTCGGTCTCTCGCTGCCTGCATACATCTGTCTCTCTCTCTCACTCTCTCTCTCTCTCTGTGTGTGTGTGCGTATATGTTTGTCTATGGCCTGATGGAATTTTAATTAAATACTCGGGTGTCTATGTTAATTTATATGCGCATATGCTTAGCAGCCCGCCAGCTACTGCAGAACTGCCGAGAGTCTGTAGTGCGAGCCGAGCTCCCAATGTCATTGATATGAATGGGGTTTGCAGGGGAGGACGCCGGCTGGAGTATGGGTAAAAGGTAAAGTGCCTGCGCATGTTTATGATTAAGAGCTTTATACGATATGTAGTAGTGGCGCGCGTGTCCTTGTTCTCAGCTCGGTTTCATTGTTGAAAATTTAATTATCATTTTTAATGCTTAGTGAGCACTATTCTCTCAGATCCCTCTGCCGTTGCGGTTATTGTGGGGAGGCCAAAAAGGTTCTTCGTGTTCAGCTCTTTGTATTTTTCGGCAATGCCACTTGATATTATCACGTCCCCAGCGTCTGCTCAGCTGACTCTCTCTCTCTCTCTCTCTCTGCTCTGTCTATCTGTCTGTTTTCTATGGCTTTTGTCTGTGTTCTGGCTGTCACCTGGTTTTCGAGATGAAATGCTAAGAACTTGATATGGGATATATTCTCGTAATTTGTTGTGCGGGTTTTCTTACTCACACTCACGTCCTCTTTCTCTCTGTCCCTCTCTCTATTTTTCCTTATCTCGCTCTCTATCTTTGCGTGTTTGAATTTGCTTAGCGAATGGCTGAATGACCCAGCAACAGATTGACATTTTCTCATTAAATTGGGGGCATGGCAATACGCTTAACTATTCCCCTTTTGAAATGGGCTGGTTTGCTATTACCATGCTTAAGTTTGAAGCTGCCATAAATGTAATTAATAAATTATCTGATGGGATGGCTTAGCCTTGCTAAAAGGCGTACACAATCCGATAACTGTTATGAAAGCAGCTTTACATAAAATCTGGGCCGTTACCAGCTTTAACTTGTTGCGAATTGAATGGCAAAATTTAAAAGGAATTTTATTCTTGAGATTTCTATTATTGATAGACTTGTAGAGAGTAGAGAAAAATAATTGAAATTTCAATGAGATTAATAATTGAAAATATGAAATATTAATTCATGTAATATGAAATGAAATGTGTATCGATAAGTTTCTGTAGAAATCTTGATTGATAATGAATTTGTTTTCATTTATTCTATATTCATTATTAATCAAGATTTCTACAGTAGCGTATCGATAAATATTTATAGAAAAATCGATCTTTATCGATAAATTGAGGTTGCATATCAACTGCTCTTGCATAGTAGATTTATTTTAATTTTCATAATAAATATTCAGCTTAGAAATTTGCTGAAGATGAATAACTGCAACTTGTTCGCTGTATGCTGCTATTTGAGTTACTTTCCCGATTATCGATCTTTTTTCTTAATAGCATAAATTGAAATATTGAGATCTTTTCTTACTCACCTCTCACTGAATGAATTTTCATATTCAAACAATTGTTGTAAAATATATGATTTTGCTTTTAATTAAAAACTTTTCTTACAATCGATAACATTCACAATTAGTTAGTTTTATAAGAATATCTATCTAAATGTTTCCCTTATACCTTCCTGATTGGTGATGTAGTGAAGTTTTATTGATCGAATACTTTGAGCCGCTGCTACGTGTTCGCATCGATGTTGACATTCATTTTGGCCAGATTAGCGCGACTTGTGGCATGCCCCGGCTGCAGTTGCAACGCCCGCCGATAACAATCGACCGCCTGTTGCCGCTGGCCGCGCATTTGCAGAATGGCGCCCAGATTGGCGTGGGCGTGCGCCGCCTGCGGCTGCAGTGCAACGGCTCGGCGATACCACAGCTCCGCCTCGGCGAAGCGATTGAGCAGACGAAGTGCATCGGCCACGGCCGACTGCAGGGCATAGTTATGGGGCGCCAGAGCAGCAGCGCGCAGCCGATAACCCAGCGCCTCCTGCTTGCGCTGCTGCTGCTCCAGGAAGTCAGCTGTATGGACAGGCTGTTAGTTAGCAGAGATCAAATATAGGCACGACTTCTTCGTCCACTTACCGTAATGATGATGTGTGCTCGGCTCTAGGGGTGACAGCTCCACGGCACGTTTAAACCACAGCTCGGCTTCTGCATAGCGACTGCACTGTAGGTAGACGGATAGAGACAGAGAGAGAGAGAGAGAGAGGGAGAGTTGTTAAAACTCGTTGCATGTCAACAAGAGTTCGCACTTACATTTCTGGCCAATGCTTGGCCGTAAGACACATATGCAACGCCCTCGCCTGGCTGTAGTTGCAGCACCAGTTGCTGCTGCCTCTCCGCCTCCTGCCACTGCTCCAGTTCCACGTGCAACGCCGCCAGCCGTTGATGCAGCGTGGCGCGCTGCTGTCGTCGCTCCAAGGGCAACATGGCCAGTGCCTCGTTGAGCACCTCCACGGCCAGTTGGCTGTGGCCCTGCGAGCGATGCAGCGCACTTAATTGGAGGTACGCACTGTGCCGTGCCGCCTCATGGGCGCTGCGATCGCGCACGCCATGCCCCGGCAATCGAGCGCCCGCCAGCAACACAGCTGCTGCCTCTTCCTGCCGCCCTTGGTTCCAGGCCAGCAACGTGGTGGCCAGATTCACGTAAGCCGGCGCCAACTGTGGACGCAGCTGTATGGCCCGGCGATAGCAGGGCAAAGCGGCGCTATAGTTCTGCTGCTGCTGATGCACAATGCCCCTGAAAGTATGCAACAAAATTGCTTTAGCGGTCTCTCATGCTAAGTGGAGTATGTAGTTGGTCTTGGGCTTATTTACATCTTTATTATGTTATTTCAAATTTTTATTTGAATATTAGACACATTTTATTTAAATAATTTAATTTTATTTCGAATTTAAAGTATTATAATTTGCACAGATTTAAAACGTATATTTTGAATTAAGTAGCGTATTTTCTTATATACATATATGACATTTCAAACGAATATAGATACAAACGAATATATTTTATATTCATACATATATATGATTTCAGCTGTGCAGTGCTGGGCAATGCTTAAATATATATAAAATATATTTATAATAAAGAACAAACAAGTGAAAATACGCATGAGAACAGCCCAGAGTTATTTTTTCAGCTTCTGCTTCTTGCTGAAGTTGTGTTATTTTCTTTGTCTTTTTCATTCGTTTTTCTTTCTTGTTTTACATAAGGAAACCATAACGCAAAACTTGTTAGAAATGCTAAAGTGAAAAAAAGCCGGGAAAAATAATGAAGACGGGGCTAGTAGTTATTCAAGAGCCGAGATTGGATGCTAGCCGAGGTCTAATAGTGTGCCGGGCTAAATTAACTTTCGCTGTGTTTTGCTGCGGTTTCTCTGGTGCTTCGCCGGCTCTAATTGCAGCGCTCCGTCAAATACTTCAGAATGTTGACCTTCAAGTATTTTTCACTGGGCGTATACTTAGTTTTCTGGCTAACCATGCAGACGTTGGCTTCATTTAATTAACAGAGCTGAGCTTCCGCAGAATGCGAGAGTCAGTCTCTCGTGCGCATTGGGTACACAAATATGTATGAAATCGTGGGTGTGGTTATGCATAGACAACTCGTCTGGGTTTTTAATATAAACAAAGAGTACGTATATGCATGAATAAGTGCTTTTAAATAAAGGATGCATTTTATTTGCAGCCCGAACGTAACAAAACCGTACAAAATAAACTCATGCACAGATTGCACAATAGCATCACCCGAAAATAACAGCAGCAACGACACTGCAACAACAACATGAATAGCAACAAACAACAACAACAACAACAACAGTAAGTTATTCAAACAAACGACGAGTTCTAAAATTTGTGTTGAGTTGCGACAAGAAGTTCATAAAATCAACAAGCGGGCAAATGTAGAAATATTAAATATTTTATTAATTTATTCATGTTTTTTTTTTT